CTCAATTCTGGTCCACGTGCGCAGCTCAATTCTGGTCCCACGTGCCTTTGGTTGGCTTTGCTTTGTTTCTTTTCTTTTCTTTTGTTTGTTTTTTTTATTTTGCTCGGACGCTTGGCAATCCCTTTGCCTTTTGTTTACCCGTGCGAATTTGCAATTCATGACCGTCCATTCCCATGCGTGAATTCTTTTGTTTTTGTCTGCCCAGCCGTTTAGCAATCCTTTAGGATTTTGTTTCTTTTTTTTTTCCCTCAGACGTTTAGCACTTTTTTTTTTTTTTATTAATTGTTCGTTGTCTGATCAATAATTCCATTCTTAATTACCGAATAACACATAACATTTAACTTGCAAACTCTTACAATTATTAACATTAACATTTTTTGTTCCGCTATTAATTGTTATAACTATTTATTCATCTATTTCATTTAGATCCCTTTTTTTTACCCAATCAATCACATTTAATTACCAATTCTTTGTGATTCATTGTTAATAACTAATTAAATGATGTCATTTTAAATTGTTATTTTTTTGCCCAAAAAACCACATTTAGTTCATAATTTTTTCGCAGTTATAGCTTTATTTGGTATTGATTCTACATAAATAATTATCGATTCTCTGCTTCTAATTGTTATAACTATTTATTCATCTATTTTATTTGGATTCCTTTTTTTACCCAATCAATCATGTTTAATTGCCAATTCTTTGTGATTCATTGCTAATAACTAATTAAATGATGTCGTTTTAAGTTGTTACTTTTTTACCCAACAGATCGCATTTAGTTCATAGTTTTTTTCGCAATTATTAACAAAAAACATTCTTCTTGGCTGTTCCCCAAATCGGATTTAGTTACCTCTGTTTTTCCAGATTTTATTAAGATAATGTTCTCCTTTATCTTGGGTTGCCCAACAAATCAAGTCTAATTATCAATTTTTTAATTTTTTTTTAAATTGGGTCCGAAAATTTTTACCCAACAAGTCGCATTTAATTACCAGCCCTGGGTAGTTGTTAGCCACAATTTAGCCTCTTTTTTGGGGGTTGCGATCGAGTCATATTGGCTGCCCTTTTTTACAATTGATTGCTAGCTAATTAATTAATATTGTTACTCAATTAGTTACTTTGTTATTCATTGTTAGTTAATTAATATGTCTACGTTGCTCTGTCTTGAGAAGAGCTTCTCATTACTCTTGTCTTCTTTGCTTTTGGCGGGCTTAATAGTTAATTGTTTATAATTACCTAATTTTACAAACTAACACCCTTAATTACCAGGTCTTTGCAACGGACAAACTTTGTTTGTTTAGTTTAGCTACATCGTTTCTTGATTTCTTCATCCGCCGCTCACATTTCCCGTCATTAGCCTCCAGCCTCCTTTTGTTGACAGCTGATTGTACCTGAGCTGAACAATACCTGACTGGTTTTTATTATATTGTCCATCCTTTCTGCCTCCATTTACGCTTCCTCATAAGAACCTTGTAGTTTTTTTTGTCCTTTGCCTGGGGTCATGTCTGTAAATCTACAAGCTGTCGTCGCCTCTTCTCGTTGTCGCCCATCAGCTCTGTTGTTCCCGTCGATTGACATTGTTTTCAGTTTTGCATTTGTACAATGGTTATAGAGTTTTTCCGCTTTTCCCCAGCAGATTTTCTGCTGCCTACCATCATGAACAGTGGTAATTGTGCATCTACTCCTTTCTTTTGCCTTTTCTATTACTCTTGTTTCTTTGCTAGAGAGAAATAGCTATCTCATAAACACTGTTCTTCGTTTTCTTTGGGTATTTTGAACCTTCCTTTTCCTCATTTATTTATTGTCTTGGTTCCAATTTGCGCTGTGTTGTTGTTACTGTTTCTTGGTGAGCATGTTGATTTTTTACCGCTTGCTTTCTTTTGTTTTCCCCCTAATTGTTCAAACACTTTGCCGTTGTTGTCATACTGCTTTGTTTTAAATTTCTTCCTTGCTTCTCTACTTTGCTGTGCGCTGGTTCGTCCATTTTTCTTTTTCCCTGCCCCTACTAAATTTTCATCACCGAATCAGCTCCTCTTTTTTTACTGCTCGTTTTTTCCCACCTTGCCTTACTGCCTTTTACTTGCTTGTGGTTTCTTTGATAGCTTCTGCTGTTATCCGTTTCTGTGGGATTGGACCTCTTTGTACAAGCAGGTTAGTTACTCTCATTTTGTTCTCTTCTTGTTTTCCTCTTTTATCTGTATTTTATCCTTTAATTGTACCTTTTCGATGTGCATTTTCTAATGCATCGTTAGCTAGCTTATACGTTCTATGTACATGTTATTTTATTTAGTAATGCTGTTACGTTGCCAGTGACAAAATACTTTTTTCCTGCACTATAATTACCTGCCTGGCTTTTTTGCTCTTATTAAATATGTGTTGTTTGCTCAGTTGTTGGACTATCGACTCATGAACAGTGGTAATTGTGCATGTACTGTTTTCTTTTCCCTATTCTATTGCTCTTGCTTCTTTGCTTGGAAGAAAGAGCTACCTCATAAGCAGTATTTTTCATTTTCTTTAGCTCTTTTAAACTTTATTTTCCCTATATTGCCTTGGTTTTAATTTACACTGGTGTTGTTGTCACTGCTTCCTGGTGAGCATGCTGATTTTTACAATTTGCTTTCTTTTGTTCTTTCCTCTACTTGTTCAAATATTTAAGCATTGCTGTCATGCTGCTTTGTTTTAAATTTCTTCCTTGCTTCTCTACTTTGTTGTGTGCTGGATCGACCATTTTTACTTTTCCCTGTCCCTGCTAAATTTTTATTGCCAAATCAGCTCTTTTTTTGCCGCTCTTTTTCCCCCACCTTTTCTTATTGCCTCTTACTTGCTCGTGGTTTCTTTGATAGCTTCTACTGTTATTCGCTTCTGCGGTGTTGGATCTCTTTATACAAGCAGCGTTAGTTATTCTCATTTTGTTCTCGTTTTTTTAACTCTTTCCTCTGCATTTTATCCTTTAATTTGTACCTTTTTGCCATGCATTTTTTGATGCATCATTAGCTGCATGCTGCTCTAATTTTACATTTTTTTATCCTTTATGTGACTTTTTTAACCTTTTGTGATCTCTATCCATTCTATGTCCATGCTATTCTATTTTCCTGGTGCTGTTCCATTGATGGTAACAAAATGCCTATTTCCTGCACTATAGTTACCTGCCTGACTTTTTTGTTCTTGTTACATTTTTGTTGTTTACTCAGTTGTTGACTATTTACTCCTTTACCTCTGCTTTTTTTTTTGCTCGCTCTGTTTTCTGTCATTTTTGGTTTACGTTTTTTTTTTGCTGAGTTAGATCTTCCTTTCTTTATATAGCCCTTTGGCATTTTTAGAACTCTTAGTGAAACTCAAATGGATAGAAATGCCGCTCGCCGCAAAAAGTATGCAGAAATGCCACCATTGAAAAAAAAACAACTTCTGCAACGACGAAGAGAAAATAGATCTGCCAAGAAAAAAGATGCACATTTACTGCCACGTATTCGCAAGGTTCCTCTGGGTTATATAGAATCAGGTGTTTGTTTCCCTGATTCGCATCCTGAAAAATTCGATGGTGCGAATGACCCTTCTATGCATAGTGAAATCTTAGGAAGCAAAGCATTGAAGAGCGATCATGACAATGCTGTTACTGAGCATTGCAATATATGTCCTCTCGCGAGTCTGCTTCTTTTGTTCCTCGTGTTCATTTTGCTTCTACTACTCAAATAGCAAACGACATGCGAATGCAAGTGTTCTTGCAGGTATAGTTGGTGATGTCCTTCTTCCTTCTTATTCAGTGGGTGTTTTTTTAAATCACCTTCACTCCCCTACCTACTGGTTCCTGTGTTAGCATTTCAATTCTTTGTAAATGGGTGCATCTTCGTTTGCAATCTGCAGAGTCTCCGCTTGCTGCTAAGGCTGATCTTACGAACTGCAAAGGAAAATTCCTTCCAGAAAAAAAAAATTTTGACCCTTTCTTCTCCTTCTGTTGAATCTGATTTCTGCCTGCCTAGGAGAAAAATTAGTAACTCTGTGCCTGTGGCGTTACATGAACGATCAAGCAATTGCTTTGCTCGTTCTCGTAGCGTTATCCAAGATGTTAACTCTGCCAAAGAGGATTTGCTTATGAACAGTCTTTTTGAAAATTCAATAGAATACTGCTCTTCTGACCATGTTTCTGTGAACTCTGAAAAAAATTATCCCCTCAGAACTACTGTTCATGCGGATCCATTTCTACAACAAAAAAATTCATCTGTTGAGAAGCAAACTTTTATGCTTAGATCTGCTTGCTCTGTTCCTGTGATGTCCATTGACAGGACCATCGGTTCTTCTCATCTTTTTGAAAACGTTATTAACTATTCTCCTTTGGCCAAAGTTTATATACAATCTGGTCAACCGCAGTTTCCTTCTGCATATGAGCAACAAAAACTTCATTTTGAAAAAAATGTATCATCCTCTGAGAACCCAGCTTTCGAACTAGCTTCTGCATCTGGAGGTATATTTTTTAGCCAACAGCTGTTTCCAATGCAATCTTACTGACTATTCTTTTCTTCCTACCACATCTTAATTATGTTCATTGAAACGACACTATCCTATTTTGGTTAGCTTATTTCTTTATACGATTGCAGAAACCACCTCTGTTCAGGTCAGCTGCCCTACCGATTCTATTGAAAAAAATGATTCAGCCGTGACTGCAACAGAAAATGCACAATTTTCTGCCTTCTCATCTAAAACACAGCCTTTTACTCGGGAACGTTCTTCTCCGGGTTAACATTTTATTTCTCAATAACTATTTAGATGCCATTGCTATATAGCCTAATAGAGGCACAACTTAGTCTGCTTCTCACCCGTAGTTTTAAAATAAATGCAGCTGCACCTAAAAGGGGAAGGCAGCAACGCATTTTTCCAATCACTGAAATCCCGCAAGAAGCTTTGATTCTTCCAGACGCTCCTGATTGTGAGCACTGTGAGCCAAGAGGTTCCATTTAGAACCTCCTAACTTTTACTGCTCTGGAGGAGAGATTTCTATTGTGGCTCCATCTATGCCTTATGATCTTAAACGCCTATTCATCGAAAATGATGAGGAAAGCGCTCATTTTAGAAATAATGTTAGGACCTATAATAACAACTTGGGCTTCACATCCTTCGCTGCAAGATATGATCCAGAGCTGACCAAGAACACAAAAGGTGTTTACACTTTCCGGGTTCAAGGTCAGGTCTACCATTTTCTTAATAGTTTACTACAGTCAAGTGAAAAACCTTCTGGAATTCAGTTTTACTTTTTTGATTCTGATGAAGAATTAGCAAAAAGGGTTGGAAGTTCTGATAAGTTGCGTGGAAGCATTTTAAAATTACTTATGCGTATCCTGTCGAACAATCCTTATGCCAAATTCTTTAAGAATCTCAGAAATGTCCCAAACATTGACAACTATAGGATTGTTTTGAACTGCTATCCTGGTTTGGACCAGCGCGTCTATAACCTACCTACAGCCTCTCAAGTTGCTGCCATCTGGACTGAGGATGATGATGAATCAGTGGATAGGAATGTCCATATTCAAGTTTATACTCACTCTAATACCAGCCATAGAATTAAGCATTACTATGGCTGTTATGATCCTTTACAATACCCTATTCTCTTCCCTCAAGGTGAATGTGGATGGCACCATGGTGTTAAGAAACTTCACAAGAGGAAGAGAAATGCAGATTCTTGTGAGGCTGATTTCAGCATTGATCCTTCCACTGTTGATGATCCTTCACTTTTACTAGATTTGGAATGTAGAGGCAAGTGTTTTTCTTGCTGTCTTTGACTATTAGAAGCAAGCATCATAAACTGTATCGACATTAGTTTGACCTTTTTAATTTGTTCTTTATAGCTGTTGACCATGGAAAGAGTGAAGAGGACACTGTATCGGCAAGAGAGTATTATTGTTATAGGTTTCAAATAAGAGAACGATGAGTCGATGTTGCTCCACTGTCTCAGACTTCTACAACAATTTTCAGTTGATTCCTATGTGAAGATAGAAACTTCTAGGCTGGACTTTCATAGACACCGACAAAATGTGGTTAGATCGGAAATTCTTCAAGGGTATTGGACAGTGTCTCTCTAGGCCAGGCTGAAGGTTCTAAAGTTGGACGTAGGATAGTGCTACCTGCTTCTTTTATTGGTGGTCCTAGGGACATGAGGCGCCGCTATCTTGATGCAATGGCACTCGTACAAAAGTACGGAAAACCAGACATTTTCCTTACCATGACCTGCAATCCGGCATGGAAAGAAATTCAGTGCAACCTGAAGTATCATGAAAAGCCTCAGGATAGGCCTGATCTTTTAGCTAGAGTTTTTAGAGCTAAATTCGAAATGCTTAAGCATGAACTCTTGAATAGACAGATTTTTGGTGAAATAGCAGCCTGCGTGTATGTCATTGAATTTCAAAAGCGGGGATTTTCACATGCTCATTTGTTACTCATTTTAAAGCCTCAATTTAAGTTGCTCAATCCGGAATCTTATGACAAGGTAGTCTGCGCTGAATTACCTGATCAGCTTCAATATCCTCACCTCTATTCTCTTGTTGTAAAACATATGCTCCACGGTCCCTGTGGCAATATGGATAAAAGTTGCCCTTGTATGAAAGATGGTTCTTGCAAGAGTCACTATCCAAAAATTTCTGCCCCATACAACCATGGTGAAGATAGCTATCCATATTATAGAAGAATGGGTGATGGCAAGAAAGTGAAAGTTCGCAGATTCACTCTTGATAACAGGTGGGTTGTGCCTTACAATCCCTATCTCCTTGCTTTGTTCGATTGTCACATGAACGTGGAGATTTGTTCTACCATTAAATTGGTCAAGTACTTGTATAAATATGTGTTCAAGGGGCATGATCTGGTTTGCTTTAGAATTATGGCAGATGATAGTCTACTGATATGATGAGATTAAAGAATTCCAAAAGGGTCGATACATCTCGCCTCCGGAAGCATTTTGGCGCATCTATGAGTTCCGTTTAAACGAGATGACCCCATCTGTTTATACTCTCCAGGTTCATCTTCCAAATCAGCAGCTTGTTTCTTTCTCGAAGAACTCGGACTTGCTGCAATTGTTAGCTAAAGTAGATTTTTCTAAAACCATGCTGACTGAGTTCTTCAAAATGAATGCGACCAACGCAGCTGCTGAGAGTCTCAAATGCTTTTATAAAGATTTTCCTCAGCATTTCGTTTGGTCTTCTAAGTATAGACACTGGACAGAAAGAAAGCGTCGAAAGGTGATAGGTAGACTCGTCAGTGTTAATCCACGAGAGGAGAAAGGTACTATCTGAGGCTGCTCTTAAATCATATTCCAGCACCGATATCATTCGATGATCTCTTGACTGTTAATGCTAAAAAAATGAACTCGTTTAGAGAGGCTGCTTTGGCACTTGGGTTGCTGCAATCTGATACGTACATAGAAGAAACGCTTGAGGAAGCTGCTGCATTTCAAATGCCATCTTCACTCAGATTATTATTTGCAACTCTTCTTGTCTATTGTTCTCCAACTGATCCAACGATGTTATGGAGAAAATTTGAATTGGACTTTACTAGAGATTATGAACGGCATAAACAATATCATGCCTACTCTCCGCTCAAATTAGGGGATTGGTTCTAGCTGATATTAACAAATCCCTTCATCAGATGGGTACATCCATTGCTGCCTATCAGTTGCCATTAGATGACCTTGTTAGTGTGGATCATGTTCATTTGACAAAGGAGATAGAAGCTGAAAAAAACATAGACATACCGCCGGAAGATCTATTGATGTCTTTGAGACTAAATGCCCAGCAAAAGTATGCTTATGACACCATCTTACAGGCATGCTTTGCTTCCCAAGGGCATTCATTTTTTATTGATGGTCCTGGTGGTATCGGCAAAACCTTTTTATACCGGTCGCTGCTTGCTACTTTGAGGTCACAAGGTTATATAGCCATTGCAGTAGCAACCTCTGGAATTGCAGCGTCTATCCTGCCTGGAGGAAGAACTGAACACTCAAGGTTCAAGATACCTCTTGACTTCTCAAAGAACAGAACCTGCCAGCTTAGCAAACAAGGCAGTGTTGCAAGGTTGCTCTCGGAGTCAAAACTGATCTTGTGGGATGAGGCTTCCATGGCAAAACGAGAAACTATTGAGGCATTTGATGATTTGCTTAGAGATGTCATGGAATCTGAACTGCCTTTTGGGGGTAAGGTTGTTGTGTTTGGTGGGGATTTTCGCCAGACGCTGCCTGTTATTAAGCAAGCAACAAAGGAAATCCTTTTGCAGTCGTGTTTTCTCAATTCTCCATTGTGGTATAAACTTCATAAACTGAAGTTGACAGAAAACATGCGAGCTATATTAGATCCTCAGTTCTCCGAATTCTTGTTAAGAGTTGGCGAAGGGCGTGAACTTGTGGACTTCAACGGTGAAATAACTTTGCCTAGAGATTTAGTCATTCCTTATTACGATAAAGAAGAGTCCTTAAACAGGTTACATTACTTAAAAAATTCTGGTCTATCTATCTACTCTTTAGTATATACAGCTTCTAATTAAACTTCTTTATTAACAGGTTACTACAATCCATATTCCCAGATTTAACTCTCTATTCCCTGGATCCATATAGGATGATTAACAGGTGTATTCTTACCCCTAAAAATAGCTCGGTTGATGAGCTAAATGATATACTAATTAAAAGGTTCCCTGGAGAGCTTCACACTTTCATTAGCTCTGACAAAACTGTTGACCAGCGGCACCAGGGGGATTATGAAGATTTTCTTAATTCTCAGAATCCAAAAGGCCTTCCTCCTCACAGGTTAATGTTAAAAGAAATTGACCGATCATACTAATAAGGAATCTAAATCCTGTTGAAGGCCTGTGCAACGGCACAAGGCTTATATGTAGAGAGCTTGGCCGGCATACTATCTCCGCTGAAATTGTCTTCGGTCAGCATAAAGGAAAGAGGGTTCTCATTCCAAAGATACCCTTACAAACTCCCGACAACCAAAAGAATTCTATTGCATTTATAAGAACTCAGTTTCCTATTCGACTCTGTTTTGCACTGACCATTAATAAATCTCAGGGAAAACTCTCGATTACGTTGGCATTTACTTGAGAGAACCTGTCTTTTCTCATGGACAGTTATATGTAGCCTTGTCCAGAGTTAGAACTTCACTGAGCTGAAAATACTTATTGTACCAGGAACTTTTGATAGTATAAAAACGGACTGCAAAACTAGAAATGTTGTGTTCAGTGAAATTTTTGAATTGAGCCAGCAGTAGAATTTTCTTATAGCCAGGTATACTTGTACCAGTCCATGCTGTGTTTACTTATTGCTAAAGTCTTGTGTATACCCAAGCTTGTACATTATAATCATTTTTCCTTTTTTTACAGGAATGTCTAACCTCTTGCCAATTGGAGAAATCGTGCCTGATATGAAAAACTGGTCCTGTGTGATCACGGTCCAAGAAAAGCAACAGGTCACAGATTCGTTGGGAACACCAACCAAAAAGCAAAAGTTTGTCTTCTATGATTCAGAGGTTACATTTTTAAACCTGAAATGGCCATTAATAATTTGAACTCTTTCTTTGTTTGTCCATCATAATTCTTATGTGTACTTTTTTTTTGCTTTCTGATAGGGCTCTAAAGTTGAAGGGATAATCTTCAATGCTGATATTCCAAGGATGAGTCCTATGTTGCAGGTTTATAAAAGATATAAGATTTCAAATGCTGATGTGAGGACTATTCCGCCAAAGTTTCAAAGTGCTGGATTAATCAAACAGTGGGTGATCACTTCAAAAACTGTCATTGAAGAGGTTGATGGCAATGAAGACATTATGCCTGTTAAATTTGCGTTCACTGACTTTGCTGATTTAGCTGAATACATGGATGATAGAAACAAGTCCGTTGGTGAGTATGTAAACAGTCTATCATTCATATTTTTGTCACACAATCGTTCTTTCTCAGCCTGTCTTCTTTCCCCTTGCAGATGTGCTCGGAGTGGTGATCAGTTCATTGGCCATGAAGACAATCACTAGAAACTCCGGACAGTCAAATGTTCAGAAATTTGTCCTCCTAAATGAAGAGTACGCAATCTTTTTATCATTGTTCACGCTCTTTTACTGGCCTTATCGCATTTTTCCTATAACTTTGAAACATTTTTGTCCTGCCTTTTATGCCAACGTTAGGTCTCAAACTGTCCTGCTATCTTTATGGGATGATTTTCTGAACAATGAAGGCCGGATTCTGTTGAATAACATGCACAGCTATCCTGTTATCATTGGTCGAAGACTGAAAGTTAACAACTACAATGGTCTGTTAACATGCTTTTTTTTTTGTATTACAGCCTTTATTTGTATATCAAGGTTCTCAGACATAGCTCAGCGTTCATTCTGTTGTTTATTCGGCAGGTGTTTCTCTCTCAACCTGGTTCGATTCTGCATTGCTTGTTGATCCACCAATACAGGAAGCGAGACAGCTCAAGAATTGGTGCAATGGCATTAACTAACATTTTTTTTGTGCACCTCGGTGTCACTTATATCGTTCTTCCCCATATTTCACTTACATCATCTTTTTCCTTGTAGGGCAATGAGAAATGCTAAGTCAATTGCAGAAATCATTGATGCAAAAAGTTACATTAAATACAATCCTGCACTTTCTTTAAAGAGAGACCAGAAAACTACTCTAATTTGCAATGTTACCGCATCACAGAAGGTGATCAGATGATATTCTGTTATGTTATTTTACAGCTTCGTACCTATTCAGATTTCCATCTAATAAATGTCTTTCTTTTTAGACTGCCTGGGTCAAGGCAAAACTCTCTTTTGAACAGATCTTCCAGAAATATTGGTATATGAGCTGTGCAAAGTGTTATCGAGCTACTGCAGCGGACTATGGAATGGAGTTTACTTGTAATTCGTGCAAAGAGAAGGGCCCTGCTATGCCTAGGTCCTATATTACTACATCATTAACTTTAATTTAGCTGCTTAATTCCTCTTAATATTAATGTTATACAGTGTATCGCCTAAGCACTTGTATACTTATATTTTAGGTGCCGCTTTGACGTTGATTTGATCGATGACAGTGGAGTTATACCTGCTTCTATCTTTGGAGATCTAGCAGAAAAAATTCTCACTTCACTGCCCTTGAAGCAATGGACCACTTTAATCAGGTTATTTTAATCGGTCAGATTTAATAATAAGTGCAGTATTTCCTTCTCACTCTTATATCTTTTGTGCTTCATCCAGAATCTTGAGCTGCCACTTCAGTTTGTCCACGAACAGCTTAAAACAAAGACATTTCTGGTTCACATTAAACCAGTCCAAACACAGCTCGCTGATGCCAGACAGCGGTATACGATTTTATATTGCTCTGAACTTGAACCAAAAAATGAGTCATGCTCAACTAACACATGAACCAGAATCTGTCTCTCTTTCATGTGACCAGCAGGCTGAAAATGAGCAGCTATTGACAGCAGGTTCGTGAATATACCTGGAGTAGTGATACATCCCTATGTTTTCTTTCAATGAACTATTAACTTAATTGAATGTTGCACTCACAGGACATGGTGGTTCTAGCTCGAAAGTGCGTCTTGCCTCAGTCAAAAGTTTGATGAAACAGAAACTGTCAGCACCAATGACTTTGATAGTCCACATGCTGACTCCAAGAAGAAAGCAAAATTAGGCTAAATTGTTGTCACTGCCTTTTGCATTGCTTGAGCATTAATATTTTTTGGGGTTCTGTAATCTGCACTCCTATGCTTAGACGATTGTTAACGTTTTTTGCAAATACTGCTCGTCCATTCACAATTCCCTGGATTTTGTGCATGGTTACCTACTAAACTTCTTTTTGTCATGCCCATTGAACTTTGATTAAGGCACCTGTATCAGAGTTCTTGCCAGGCTTTCAAAGATTAGCTGAAATCCTACAACGTTGGTGAGCATAAGGATTTTCACAGATATCTTTGGATTCCTGACGATGAACTCCCTTTGTGTAAAACTGATAGCTTTATAAGCTATACAATATAGGCTTCCTTTCCATCTGTTTATAGTTTTTTAAAATTACAATTGCTGCTATCAATTTCTAACATGTTGGACTATCTGCTCCTGCTACATATTTAGTTCCTGCTACTTATATGTTGGACTATCTGCTCTACTTAGCATGTTGAGTACACGTTGAATTATAATTTTTCCTTCAAACCATTAAAGCATTGCAGATGCATTACTTTCCATGCTATCAATTGACAACTCCCACTTCATATTTTGCAGAACTAGCAGCTTTATAATCTATATAATTTGGGATTCATTTCCGTTTCTTTATATTTTGTCCAGTGGAGTTATTATTATGCATTTGCAGCCTCCAGCTTTGTACGAATGCATTTATTGCGAATGGCAACATTTTTTACAAATAAAACTTATATATTCAGGTCCATTAAAGCATTACAGGCCATTAAAGCATTGCAGGGTGAATTATGATCTTGCCTTCAGGCCATTAGAGCATTACAAATGCATCCTTATCACATGCAGTCGGTTGACAACTCACACTTAAATGTTTCACATTGAATTGTCTTTTCTATTCATTGGTCCTTACCTTCTCTGCAACTAATTCAATTGTGATAGGAAAAGACTTGCACTTAGCATTAACAGTAATGAACAGTATACTCTTTTTACATTGATCCTTTCTTTATATATATGCTCTTTGCCGTTTACAAAATCATCCATAACAACTCTTAACCATACATTTGCACTACTGCTTTTTCTGCCTAAGAACTTGTCAGCAGGTGAGTTGCTCTACAATGTATTTGTAATCTTATCATATGATATAGCCTTGTACTCGCATGTTCTATTAGTAGACCACTTGTCTGATTTTCCAGCATCAAATTTCCTCCTGATAGTTCAATGGCAGAAAGAATCTTAACATCTCCAACAAATTTTCAGCCGACAAATAGCTGCTTATCAGCTTGCTGTTTTCTAATAAAATGCATCCACAGAGGACAGGTTAACTTTTACCTCTTCACTTACATTGTAGCATTTAGTGTTAAATAGCATGGTATTCTTTGACAATATTTTCCTACTGCATTTCTTGAAGGTATTACCTGCTCAGTTTGAATCATTATTTCATCAACACCACAGCAATAGAATTATTCTGAGGTTTGGACTGCGGCAATGGCCTATCACAGTCACGGCTGGGATGCTTTTTGTGAACACAATATTGTCAAAAGGCATGACACGCTATTACTTCGACATAGCGGGAATCTGATATTCGATGTCATTCACTTTTGTGAACTACAGAAACAAGTTCTTTTGCCTTGGACCGTTCCCCTGCCAGACCTGTTGCACATGAATGCTGTTGCATCAAGAGATAAACATACCATTGTATCTATCTCGCATCCTCATCTATATCATATATTATTTTTAATGTAATACATAGTCACTAATTACAGATGATATCCAAATAGCCGCTGGACAACAAGAAGTTGCTTCCTCACTAAGGCCAAATTTCTGTCAAGATCTATCTGATTCGGTTTGCTTTTATCAAGTCTTTAACTCGGCGACTCCAAACAGTTTGGTAAGCTATTCTATGCTTACCTGCATTTTCTTTTTCATCTCAACTTTCTCACAAGCAATTGTCTTTTCTTTCTGTATATCTTCTAATCTACACCTCTTGATGATAGAAAATTCCACGCTTTATTGATCACTTCATCAATGGTATCAAGACTCCCACGTTACTTATCAACACTGGACACAGAAGTACTCAAGTTGGTGTAAAGCATAAACGCCTTCACCGAAACTGGAGAGATTTCGTTCTTCAACATGAATTGCAGCACAATGAAACTCTTGTCTTTATTCCGGAATCTGAAAATATATTCACAGTTTTGATCTTTGATGATACTGGAGTTGAGAAACTTTTTCCTTGGTTTCACACATTCAATGTTTATTCGGATGCTTAATAAATTTACCTGAACCATGCAGTGTAATTTACCCATCAATTGAATACATTACTGGTAGTTTTCACTCCTTCCTAACTAAATAATCTACATTACTTCTTCTTGAATTAACTAATTTTACAAAATTTATTATTCAGCTGGGCATTACTGGCATCATTACATTCACCCCCGCGCATCGCGCGGTGATCCCCTCCTAGTTAACATATATAGTAAATGTGTGAATGCCAATCCCTCCAATTGAACCCAATTGCTGACGTGGCACGTTGTGATTGGCCGATTGATGGTCGCCCCCAAGCAATTGAGATGAGGACAAAATTGAGATTTCGCCTCCTCATTGGATTGATAGGGTTGTTGAGAATTCATTTACGCCGCTCACTGTATCTCTTCTTCTCCGAGCCATTTTCTCTCTTGCCTCTCTGGTTCCTTTCTCTCCTCCATTCTTCCATGGATTTCCTGAGAAAATAAATAGAATAACGGCACACAGCTTCTATTCTCTCTTTCTTCTTCATTTTTCCCCTCTTCCCCTCTTTTAAAGATTATTCAAAAAAATGACACTTAAAACCCACATTTTTATTCTCTCTGTTTTTTTCCGTTTTGTCTCCTTCTTATCCTGAAATAGGAGAACCTTGAAGATTTGGTCGATCTTGTTTGCTCAACTGCTCACGTTTGATTTTTCTTTTTCCGTTTCTGATTTTTATCCATCCCTTTTCCTCATAAACTTATGATTTTTCCCTCTTTCTGCGCAGAAAAGTTTATATTTTCTCTCAGTTATTTTTCTCTTTATTTGTATATAATTACCTTGGAGATCTTTCTTATCTGATTTATTTTCTCTCCGCTGATCTCGCCATTTTTTAGTTTTAAAATTTTCCTTTATTTTGACTGATTTTTTCATGTTTGTTTCAGGGTGCAAGTTTAAGGCTTGCATGTTATTATCTGGTATCCTCAATCTCTACAAAACCCGCCAGTAAAAAATCTCACATGATGTTTATTTTTCTCGTGACTTTTTTGACTATGATTATTTTGTTCTTATGGAATTTTTGTGTGATTATCTCAGGTAAAAACACACAAGGAAGGCCACTGAAGGAGGAATTACAGTTAGTTTCTTGCCCTTTCATTTTTTTTTTGGTTATTTGGTTGTGATAATAGTGTGTGTTTTTTTTTACTGTTTCTTTCTTCAACTATAATATGAGAAAATCCAATATTGTTCATGCTGGTCTCGACTATGTTAATCTGTTTAGTGTAATCCAAGGTTTTTTCTTCTTCGTTTTTTCCCCCTAATAAATTTGCTCTTGCCAGCATTGCTTATTCTAAGTCTTTCTTAGATGAACGAAGAAAAGATAATGGATGCTACTTTTCTTCAATAAGCCTTGACGATATGTTTTAATTTCCCTTTTTTTTGTGAACAGATTTTTTTTCATTGTAACTTATTGTAACTTTCTGCTCTCTTTATCCTGTTATTGGTCTTTACAAAAGTGAAGGGTGAAAATTTGTGACAGCATCCTATTTCCTCTAGATCCAAAGTTATTTTCTTTTACTTGTTTTACTTGCTCCGTTTTTATTGTTTTGAGTTCTCTGTTTGAGAATCATACATTGCCAGAACCTAAAGCTCAATTTCTTTTTTTGCAGAATTCAACTCAGACATGTTATTGCTTGTACATTTGCTGTTTGGCTTGTAGCTTTACTTGTTCCCTTTTTCTAGAGATATGTCTTGTTTTTGTTTTTTTAGTTTTTGTTTATTTGTCAACCTTATTGATAATTTACTTTTCTTTTTGTTTATCAACTCAGTAGTGGCAAAGAGAGTAAATTAAGTTGTTTTCCTAGGTAATTTGTAGTTTGCCTTTTGTTGGAACTTTATTTTGGTTGGCAATGTCAACCTAGCCAGTTAAAAAACAGCTTAAAAATTTGGGAATAATGTATGAAAAATTTGTATAGCAGATTCAAGGCTGTATGAATGTCTTGCTGATAAGAGCTGGTAGCTTGTGGCTTTCGGTAAAGCCAGGACTTCTGAAATTGCATGTCATATTTCCTTTGAAAGTCTCTCAATAAAATTTTAAAATATGGGGATTAAAAGGAATAGGAGGGGCAGGGATGAGGGGTAATGAACAAGGTTGTCTTCTAGAATGCCTATGCTCTGATTTTCTACATTTTCTGCTTGCCCCTACACTATGTGACAAGGTTGAAGTCTTGATGTCACTGCCTACAGAGTGTTGTAGGACATCAATAACTAGGTTGTTTCGACGATGGCGGGTAATGATCAAGGTTGTTTTCATGAATGCCTGTGCTGCTATACTTCATTGTGAAACTTGTTTCTTTTTGTTTTCCCCCTTTGTGCTTGTGTGTGTGTGTTGTAGGTAGGGGTGAGGAGTAGGTTTTGTTGTTCCATTTTTTAAGTAAATACACCTTCACCTACTAGCTTGAACAACCACAAATCCTGCCATCAATTGCCAATTATGAGGAGAAAACAGAAAAGCTACAATGTGGATTCTCTCTGTATAAAATACAATTCACTATTTTATGAATGCCATATGCTGGTAATGTGTTCCTACCCAGATTACATTGATTCAAACTCATTAAGTTTAACAAGTTTAGGGATTTATGCATCACGAGGAACGACTTTTGTCATATGTAGGAAGACAAACTTATTTTGTATTGATGCTTAGTTGATTTGTGTTAAATGAATTGCTTATTGTAATGAATATGCTTGCAATATTATAAAGCCACATCTTGAAGTCTATTGATGTCCTACACTGTGTAGGGAGTGACCAATTGTTGCTTAACAGGTCCCATAAGTTCGTATTTGCATAATTCTTGACATGTTTCTCTTTTTTGGGTGGCAAAGGAGGCTTCGTTCTTTATTCTGCAATGCATGATACTGATTCCGTTGAATGGAAGATTACCTATTATGTTCTTCTTGATTAGTTCTCAGTCTTTTCCATGGATTTCATATTTAGGATTTCCATCAGCTTCTTGATGAAAAACTTGAACTATCATTAAAGTTGAGAGACTTAACTATTCACTAGGTACAAGAAGGATTTCAAGAATTCTTCAGAAAGCTCAATGAGTGATTCCTTTTTCTTTCAGGCAAGAGTAAGTCAGGTAGCCAAGATCTAAGTTTGACGCAGGGAGTGCGAGGAGAAAAGGTCCTTCCTGGGATTGTTCTTCTGTTAGCTCAACTATCTCTTTTCATTGGGCGAAGTGCTATCCCAAGAATTACCGAGGTCACTTTCTGTTCTGTGTTTTTATTGTGTTTGTTTCTGCATTCTACTAGAGAATATGTAATATCCATTAGATTTTGAAAACTTTCTAAAAAATCCTATCTTTAACGGTGTCAGGAAATAGCTTCTTCCTTTTCTTCTGGTGGTGCTCGGGGTTATGAGTATGGCCCTGCTTTCATCCCTGTAGTGATTTGTCGCACCTTCCGGGTAGCTGGGGAGAAGTGCTTGGACCATGTATGGATTTTTGGATCATCTTTTGCACTACTTATTCTTGCTCAAAAACTTTCACTTTCTATGTGCAAAATTGTTACATTTGTGTAGTGAAATTTGGAGGGCTATTAGCCTAGCTCACTAGATTCGAGACTCAAAATCTATCTCATATTATTATTTCAAAGAAGCCAAATTTCTTGTTCTCATTCAAAACTTCAATTTCTACATGCAAAAACTCTACTTTTCACATTTGTCTAGTGAATTTTGGAGGGCTATTACCCTAGCTCACTAGATTATGGACACAATCAGATCCTTTGAAGCCATATCTTGCCTAAGAGAATGGAAGATGGAAGTGGAATCCTTGCTTGAAGTAAATATAAATTTCTGAATCTGATGTAAAAAGTAGCCATTGAGTACTTTATTTTTTTCTTTCAGTATGTAAGGTTAAGAACTCAAAAGATATCAGTTCTGTTGCGGACAAGGTTTACAACACCAAACTGGGTTAAGGTTAGTTAATTCCGTAAAATTTTTGCAGTGAATAGTTCAAAATATATACCCTTCATAAGTTTAGCTAATGTTTTGAGCTTCTCCTTTTATGATAGCACAAGGAGCCAAGAGAGGTTCATATGTTTGTTGATCTGCTGCTTCAAGAGGTAATTTCTTTCATTTTCTAACATGATCTTTCTGTTGTAAACTCTGATTCTTAACATATAAATGTTTTCTTAAGCTGTGATCAATTTCTGACCTCTTGCAATATGGTGCGGTACTGGTTCTACCTCTTTGAAAAATCAGAACTGGCGGTTTTGGAACCGTGGCCATGCCTACGTCTATTGATGCTCAATCTTGTATCTGTATGCAGCAGGATGATTGATTTTCTAAGTCCATTTGCTCGATCCACACCACCCCACCAACCACTCCCCCCCCCCAAAAAAGAAGAAAATTCCTTATATGGTCAACTTCTTTTGTTATTCTACTATAATACCGTAGTACCCTTTCTTTCTTGTGTAACAATGAACACAAAGCTAGTCGCCACAAACCAATCCTAATGTTCCCCCAACCAATTCTAAGATTGAAATTCACACATCTGTCATTCCCACTTCTTTATTGCAAAATCGCAAAAGACGTTAGTTAATAGTACTAGTATTATTCTCCAGATTGTGTGGTGTCGATGAAAAGCCCGACGATGAAGACAGAATTGTGTATACATTACTAATACAAATCTTCCTAATACAAGTAGTCATGCTATGAATTAGATGCAACAGAACTCCCCTACACCCTAAATCAAATCCTATCCATCCCAAGTGTTTGATTCACAGTTCACAAACAAGAAAGGGACACTGCCCAGCCCACAGAAAGGGACTGTCAAAATTCATCTGTATCAGAGGCGGCTGAGCTGGAACATATAACAGTACACCATTAGTCCATCTAACTCACAAAAAACCAACCAAACGTTTGGTATAATTTTAGTTTAGTCTTCAAGCACAACAAAAGTGTTCTCCGAATTGAAGTTCTTGGGCAGTAGCGATCAATGGCTTTGGCTCTCCAAAGTGCGCATTAGTACAACAGAGCTTGTTTAGACACCCATGGTTTTTTTTTAAAAAAAAAAATTTTGATTGATGTAAAGTAAATGTAGATCCTTCCTTGTCTTGAATTTCATTTGTCCACAAATTTCAAGTAAATTCCTTTAAGAGTAGGACCAAAGAAATAATTCCTGTGCTTGGATAGGGGATTGTTTTGGCACAATATTTTTTAAAAAAATATTATAATACTTTTTTTATGTACAAAATGTGCTTAAAATGCAATCAAAATAATTTTACAAATAAACCACTATTCAAACAGTTTTTGTTTTTGAACAAAAATTCGTCTAGACTATTAACATTATTGTCTTGAATTTGCTAAGCCCCCCTCTAGAGTACCTAGACCGAACTACATCACAAACAGGAAACAACTAGAAAAGATCACATAAATATATTGGAATCACAGTTGTTCTCAATGTTGATACTCACTTTACTTATTCAAGCAAAACCCAGAAAAATTAGATGCCTACAATCAAAGTAATCAAGCCACATTTAGTTTTGGCCTACAAAAAAAAGTACAGTAAATGTTAACTGTTGGTATAAAAAAAACAGGAACTAAATCGAAAAGACCAATTTGGTGTTGCTTCCTCATCAGTTTCCTTGAGTTGGTTATGCTAATCATCATTGGCTTTAAACTGTCCAAAAATGGTTGATTTCTAGGAACCATGAAGTTACTAAGCACAGTTGTTCTCGTCCTTGTTAAGTTGTGAGGAGAAGGTATATAAGACCTTTCAAATATTCAACTATTTCAGATCCTCCAAGCTTTGAGCTCCCATACACTCTATCGACAAAAGTAATTGGAACCTGTGAAGACAAAAAATCGATTTCAAATATCTCCATTAACACAATAAAACACAAGGAGGAGATGCAAACCAACGAAAGAGCCAAAACTAAGAAGAAATAGTTCATCAGAGATCTTAAAACCAAATGACTAAATCTCATGTGTAGTTAGAAGCTATAGATATTTGCCAAGAAGAAGATGATAATCAACCCATTAAAACTAACAGACCAAATGATAAGCAACAAGAGATCAAGTACCTCAGCAATGTTGTAACCTTTTCGTGTAGCACGAACAATCATCTCCATCTGAAAAACATATCCTTTACTCACGCATGAGCCTATAACATCTTCAAGCACGGATTTCCTATAAAGCCTTTAGGCAAAATAACAGTTGTTAGCTAAGGAAGTGGAAGCTTAGGCAGAAGCAACTACAGCATTTGGTATATTGGTTTACCGGAAAGATCCAGTTAGGTCTGATACACCAGGCCAAAGGAGTGTCTGTGCAAGGACATTTGCTCCCCTGCTTGTCAATTTGCGCATCAGATTCCAACCATGCACGCCACCTCCTTTGACATATCGTGTTCCAGTAACTATATCTGCACCCGTCTCCATCTGCTTCCTAAACATCAAAACATATTCAGCTACTATACTTCTAAAACTTGGTAAAATTAAATAAAATTCTAATACTTGAGTTGAAAGGTTCTTACTTGATGAAGTTTGGAAGATATTTTGGCTGTAAAGCAAGAAAAAGAGATGCATTAGATAACAAGTGAAGCAACATATAAGCTAAATGAACACCAATAATAGTTCCACTGATATATAGGCTAAATGAACATCAATAATAGTTCGAGCGGAAGCGAAAAAACAAATAAAACACATGCCTGCAGAAAACCTCAAACACTCACACATTTAATCCAAAAGCGATGCAATACAAAAACTAAGAATTGACCCATGTAGTCTCACTGTGCTCAAAGGCCCTAATTCAACAAAATAACTTTCTGTTAGAACTCAGTTTTCCAGTTTGTTAAACACTGCCGCATATTATCTTCTCAACTTATCAAACTTACACCCAAGGTAAAAGACCAGTATCAAAGCAGCTAAAACTATTATGATTACTAAATGCACTGTAAAAGAGACAGCTCACCAAAAGTTTATTAGAAATGGAAATACACTTCAGATCTCCCAATCATTTCGTAATCTTCCACCAACCTCAAGCTCAACCCCAGAATAAGCTGCTTTCCCCCCTTGTTCACACCAAATCCTAAGAAAGCGAGGACAAAATGTGTTTCTTTTTTTTCCCCTCCCTTCCTCTTTTTCTTTTTGGAGGCACAAAAATTGGGGTGAGGACTATCTTTTTTTTTCTTTTTTTTGGTGGCGGCCTTTTTGGGTTTTTTTTTTTTTTTGTGGGTTTGTGGTTGGTGTTTGGAGAGGGGGGGGGGGGGGCGGGTTTTATAGAGCGTCCTCCTCATCATTCTAGTGAGTAGGAGTGCACTTACATGGTGAGATAAATCAGCATCCATAATGACCACAAAATTCCCTGAGGCATGCTTCAGGCCATGGATGTAAGCCGTACCTGAAACTTAACTAAATTAATGATCCCTTTTGCTAGTTCAAAAACTTAAACCAAGGCCGGCCAAAGAGATACCTAAACCAAGCTTCGTAGGTCTAGCCCTCAACGGCTGGATTAGTAGATAGCCTTACATAAGTAGACCTTTCAAAGAGATAAGCATAGGCAAAGCATCAACAACATTGCGAATTAATACTAAAGAGGACTTACAATGCGATCCTCTCCATAGACAGATTGCAGTTGTTTAACAATATCCTGAGTCCCATCTGGACTTCCATCATCCACAACAATAATCTCAAAATTGACATTCCTAGCCAGGTAAGGACCAATTGTCAGATACAAGTATAGATCATGAAGAGAATGTTGTTTGTCATTGTTTTAGTGTACTGTTTTTCACATCTTTAAGTAATATCTATCATCTAATGTCAAACCAAAACCTATGAAGCACAATCTCAAATAGTTAATTTCGTACAACAATTTGGTCCATGTTATTCACATATTCAGTTGCAAGTCCAAAGCTTCACCTTCTTACACCTAATGGTTCCCACACCCACTCATAACTATAGAGCTGAATATGCTCACGGCTAATCATCTAGAAGTTTGAGTGGACAAACAAGCAAACTTTTTCACAGCAAATCAGTTTTAATCAGCTTATCCTGGGCATATGTATAAGAAAAACTACACTTTGTTACCAATTACCAGTCATGATTGAGAGAAAAAAGTATCCATACAAAATATGTGCTACTGTGTGCATTGCTTATCAATTTTCAAACAATTCTGAAGCTAAGATTTTGATACTTCGCATGATATCTAAATCAAATACCCAGAAACACTTCTTTCCAAATTGTAAGTCAATCACACACACAAAAGCACAAATAATAATAATAATAATAATAATAATAATAATGCTATAATAATAGAAAGACTAATAATAATAATAAAAGCAAAGAACTGTTCCTGTGTAACATGGAGATAATTATTTCAGCAGTTCATAGATGATTCTGATGACCAAGTAATAAGCTGTAAGATCAACAAAAACACTTCATTCAAATAAACATAAATAAACCTTTTGATGCATGCAACAAAAGATTTAGAACGTGAAATGAAAAATTCACAGAAGATAAGTGTAAAAGCCAAAAGTGCAATGAAAGAAGCCACTAGACAAACAAAGCAGAGGCAATGGAACATGCATCATCTGTTTTATACATATATTCACAGAAAAGGAAAAGGAGAACATGCATCATCATGGATAACTTGGTAACGAGAGAGAGAGAGAGAGAGAGAGAGAGAAAGAGAGGGTACGGGAGATGCTTGAAGATGAGATAAACAAGGAGAGCAATGTTGAGGCGCTCATTGTAGGTGGGGATGATTATACTATACTTATTGCTATTCTCCTTTTGCTCATTGCCCATATTCTTTCTGCATCAAAATCCCTCCAACCCCTAGAAAGCGCAAATTTTTATTGAACTGGGTTAGAGAGAGAGACGGAAGGCAAAAACAAAAACACTTACAGCTAATGCAAGTTGTAGGTAACAACTGTTAGTATT